AGTCAGAGTCACAGTCATGAGTCAAAGTGCAGCATCAGCAAGCAGCTTGCACCATGCGACTAAAAAAAATTCACAATTTCTCGTGCCGTGCAGTCTTGAGTCGAGGGTAGCAAAGTCGGAGTGATTGGGCCGGAAAATGGTATGGTGGGTTGGTACTTCGTGAATAGCCCCAACTCGGAGGCCGGAAGTTCGGCACAGAGTACATTGACCATTCACCCCCCACCTCAACTCATTTCTCTACCGAGCTTTGCAAGGAGGCCATCCCTTGTTCAGACTCACACTGGCCTGCATTCTCTGAGCGCATGTCCAGATAGAGTCTCGCTGCGCTGCTACGGCAAGCTGCGAATCCTCGACCTTCAAAGTAGACAGTACTCGCCCCAGCAGGCCAAGCAGCTGGGCAGGTGGTCGCAAGACTCGTAGACGACCAGAACACATCAATCTCTACACCTCACCAAAATGAGCGCAGCTTCTTCCGCAGGCTTGAATGGCCAAGCTGCGGCTCTCAGCGCGGCTAGTCGGCCAGCTCCGATGCAGAGAATGCCTTCGCGGATCACAGGCCCAACTGAGCCCGCTACTTCCGCGCCTCTCGGAGTCACTGCCGAAGAAATGGTGTTGGACCTGGCAGATGGCACCTCGTACAAAGGTATCAGCTTCGGAGCAAAGAAGAGCATCAGCGGAGAATGCGTGTTTCAGACTGGTACGTCTGATGCCCTTAGCTCGCGACCCACTAAAGGGATGTCGCTTCTGACAGCGTTGCCCTTTGTGCGAAATGATGAACAGGTATGGTAGGATATGTCGAGTCCCTCACAGATCCTTCTTACGAAGGTCAGATCTTGGTGCTCACTTTCCCTTTGGTGGGCAACTATGGTGTGCCTTCTCGGCAAGAAGCAGAGTCATCGATCCAGTCTCTGCTGGCTTCTCCCTTCGAGTCCAGCCGCGTTCACATTGCAGGTTTGGTCATCTCGTACTACAGCCACGACTTTAGTCATTACCTCGCTCAATCGAGTCTGGGTCAATGGCTCACGGAGCAAGGCGTGCCCGCAATCTATGGCATCGACACGAGGGCTTTGACCAAGCGCATTCGCAGCAAGGGTAGCATGCTCGCTAGATTGCTCGCTCGACGATCTGCCCAGGAAGTACAAGCGATCAGGTCTACACTCGGACCAAGCGTGCCCACCACTCCTGCCGCCGAGCTTGCAGGTAATCCACTCGCTCTGACGCCGTGGCGAGCAGAGTTTGAAGACATTCCCTTTGCCGATCCGAACAGTCTGAACCTCGTGGCAAAGGTCAGTTTGAAGCAAGCTCACCTGTACACTCCGGCCAACACGAGCTCAGGTGGATCTCTGGCCAAGGTGGCGTCGCCTCTTTTGCATCCCTCGGGTCGACCCATTCGCATTCTCGCCTTAGACGTCGGCATGAAGTATAACCAGATCAGGTGCTTCACAAGCCGAGGCGCGGAACTGAAAGTCGTCCCTTGGGACCACGACTTCCTGAACGGCGAAGCGGAGCCTTTCGATGGTCTCTTCATCTCCAATGGACCTGGTGACCCTACGAGCTGTGCGCCTACCATCGCGCGCATTAGCCAGTTGCTCAAGCGCACCGGAACCGACGCGATTCCCGTCTTCGGTATCTGCCTAGGCCATCAGCTGCTGGCTCTGGCCGCTGGTGCGCAAACTGCCAAGATGAAGTTTGGTAACCGCGGGCACAACATCCCGTGCACAGATCAGCTCTCGGGACGCTGCTACATCACTTCGCAGAATCATGGTTATGCTGTCCAAGCCTCTAGCCTGCCAGGCGGCTGGAATGAGCTCTTTGTCAACGCTAATGACGGGTCCAACGAAGGCATCTACAGCACGCAGGGACCCTTCTTCAGCGTACAGTTCCATCCCGAAAGCACGCCTGGACCAAGAGATACCGAGTTCCTTTTCGATGTCTTCCTCCGCAGTGTTGTTGACTGTGCCATTGTCAAGTCTTCGGTAGGCGCTGCAGCAAATACGCCGAAGCTGCTGCCACCAGTGCCCTTCGTCGGCGGCAAAGCAGCGGACAATGCAGCTCGGAACCCACGCGTCAATGTTCGCAAAGTCCTGGTGCTGGGATCCGGAGGCCTGTCCATCGGCCAAGCTGGAGAATTCGATTACAGTGGAAGTCAGGCCATCAAGGCCCTGAAGGAGGAGGGTATCTACACCATCTTGATCAATCCCAACATCGCTACCATCCAGACATCGGCCGGTCTCGCAGACAAAGTGTACTTCCTCCCAGTCACTCCGGAGTTTGTGCTCAAGCTGGTGCGTCACGAACGCCCAGATGGCATTTACGTCACTTTTGGTGGGCAGACTGCGCTCAACGTCGGTATCGCGATCAAGGAGGAGTTGGTAAAGATGGGGGTGCGCATTCTTGGTACACCGATCGACACGATTATCACCACCGAGGACAGAGAGCTTTTTGCGCGCTCAATGGAACAGATTGGAGAACGATGCGCGCCTTCGGCAAGTGCGGTCAACTGGGAAGAGGCTTTGGCGGCAAGCAAAAGTATCGGCTTCCCAGTCATTGTCCGTGCTGCCTTCGCCCTTGGTGGTCTTGGAAGTGGATTCGCCAAGAACGAAGACGAGCTGCGCAAGCTGTGCGTAGCGGCCTTTGCCAACTCGCCACAAGTGCTCGTCGAGAAGAGTATGAAGGGCTGGAAGGAGGTCGAGTACGAGGTTGTGCGCGATTGCAGAGACAACACCATTACGGTGTGCAACATGGAAGTGAGTAAGAGTGTGGGACGTGGACTTACGTGACGTGTGCTAATTGAATCCAACGATCTTACATTGTTGCACAGAACTTTGACCCTCTGGGTATCCACACTGGAGACTCTATTGTCATCGCGCCGTCGCAGACTCTCGACGACTCTGACTACAACATGCTGCGCACTACGGCTGTCAACGTGATCCGACACCTTGGCGTCGTTGGAGAGTGTAATATTCAATATGCGCTCAACCCCCACAGCAAAGAGTACTGCATCATCGAGGTGAACGCCAGACTGTCGCGCTCTTCTGCACTCGCCAGCAAAGCCACTGGCTATCCGCTTGCCTTTATTGCTGCGAAGCTTGGTCTGGGCATCCCCCTAAACGAGATCAGGAACAGCGTGACTCGCGAAACCTCGGCGTGCTTTGAGCCCAGCCTCGACTACGTGGTCTGCAAGTTCCCTCGATGGGATCTGCGCAAATTCGTCCGGGTCAGCTCGAAGCTCGGCAGCTCGATGAAGAGTGTCGGAGAGGTAATGAGCATCGGTCGAACCTTTGAAGAAGCCATTCAAAAGGCTATCCGGTCCATCGACTTCCAGTTTGACGGCTTTGGCGAGGTGAGCGCTCGCTTGCTTCCTGACCCTGAGTGACGCAGAGCTTACGCATGCTACCCATCTGCATGGCAGAATACCTACGCAGCCGATTCTGAAATTGACGAAGAGCTCGCAAACCCAACAGACAAGCGCATGTTTGCTATTGCTAACGCTTTCGCAAAAGGCTACACCGTCGACCAAGTCCACGAGGCCTCTTCTATCGACCGCTGGTTCTTGCGCAAATTGAAGGGTCTCTCGGATGCCGCCGTGATTTTCCGCAAGTTCCATGTGGGCAACCTCCCTCCCGAGGTCCTCGTCCAGGCCAAGCAGCTCGGCTTCAGCGATCGTCAGATTGGCGGTTTCTTGGGCAGCACCGAGCTCGCTGTCCGAAGCCTCAGGAAGGAGCACGGCATCGCGCCTTTTGTCAAGCAGATCGATACCGTCGCAGCAGAATTCCCCGCCTACACCAACTACCTCTGTAAGTCAGATTCTCGTGCGAATGGACTGAATCGACGAAGACACTGATCTTTGATGATGCTTCTGCATCTAGACACTACCTACAATGCTGCTGAGTCCGACGTCAGCTTCGAGGATCGTGGAGTGATGGTGCTGGGTTCGGGCGTTTACCGTATTGGTAGCTCCGTCGAATTTGACTGGTGCGCAGTCAGAGCCATCCGCACTTTGCGCCAGCGCGGCTTCAAGACTGTCATGGTCAATTACAATCCTGAGACGGTGTCGACGGATTACGATGAAGCAGACAGGCTCTACTTTGAGAATATTTCGCTCGAGACGGTCCTCGACATCTATGATGCCGAAAAAGCTACCGGTGTGATCATCTCGATGGGCGGCCAGACACCGAACAACATCGCGCTGCCCCTGCATCGTCAGAATGTCAAGATTTTGGGCACCTCGCCAGAGATGATCGACATGGCCGAGAACAGATACAAATTCTCGCGTATGCTCGACAAGATTGGAGTCGACCAACCGCTCTGGAAGGAGCTCACAAGCTTTGAAGAAGCACACGAGGCTTGCGCGCGATTTGGGTATCCCGTCCTTGTCAGGCCGTCATACGTACTCAGCGGAGCAGCGATGAACGTCGTGTACTCGCCGGAAGATCTCAGCAGCTACCTTGGCCAAGCCGCCGCGGTCAACCGCGACCATCCAGTGGTCATCACCAAGTACCTTGAAGGCGCGAAGGAAATCGAGATGGACGCCGTTGCCCGCGACGGAAAGATGATGATGCACTTTGTCTCCGAGCACGTCGAAAATGCCGGTGTCCACTCTGGAGATGCCACGCTCATCCTTCCGCCCCAAGACCTTGACCCTGAGACTGTGCGCCGCATCGAGGTGGCCACAGCAAAGATTGCGGCAAGTTTGCACGTCACGGGTCCGTTCAACATTCAATTCATCGCCAAGAACAACGAAATCAAGGTGATCGAATGCAACGTCCGGGCGGCACGCTCTTTCCCCTTCGTTTCCAAAGTCTCGGGCGTCGACGCCATCCAGATGGCTACGGATATCATGCTGGGCCTTCCGGTCGACCCTTATCCACCTTTGCAGATGCCCTCTGGCGGTTATGTGGGCGTCAAGGTGCCTCAGTTCTCCTTCTCACGTCTCGCCGGCGCGGACCCTATTCTTGGTGTCGAGATGGCATCGACCGGAGAAGTCGCTTGCATGGGTCGCAACAAGTATGAAGCCTACCTGAAGGCCATGATTGCGTCAGGTATCAAGCTGCCCACCAAGAACGTCCTGCTCTCCATCGGATCGTTCAGCGAGAAGCAGGAGCTGCTACCTGCTGTGCGCACCCTACATGCTCTGGGATTCAACCTCTATGGTTCTTCGGGCTCAGCCGACTTCTATTCCGAGCATGGCGTCCCTGTCATTCACCTCGAGGCTCTTCCGGAAGACGATGAGTGGAAGGGCGAAGAGGGCAGCAAGGCGGCATACTCGTTGCTCACCCATTTGGATCAAGGCCTTTCCTCATTGTTCATTAGCTTGCCCTCGAAAAACAAATATCGCCGACCTGTCAACTTCACTTCTATGGGCTACAGAGCTCGTCGATTGGCCATCGACCGCAGCATCCCTCTAATCACCAACGTCAAGAACGCCAAGCTCTTCGTCGAGGCTATCGCGAGACACCGTGCTGCTGGAGCCAACTTTCAAATCGCGAGCGTCGACTTCAAAACGAGCCATAAGAGCCACATCTTCCCAGGTCTGGTCAACGTTGCTGCTTACGTGCCTAGCTTGGCAGATCCGCAAGCGGGCGCGCGTGACCTCGCGGCTGTCACAAAGGCCTCTCTGGCCAACGGTTTCACCACAATTCAGGTGTTGCCCATGGGCCTGAGATTTGGCAACGCAGCCAATGGCATCTATGACGAAGCCTCCCTGGCAACCGCCGAGGGCAAGGTGCCTGGCGCCGCTCACTGCGATGTCGCTCTGTCGATTGCGGCATCTTCAGATAACGCTACTGAGCTGCAGGGCATCTCATCGCGCGCTCGCGCGCTAGTCGTCTCCCCCGACGCACTTGGCACCGACGCCGGAAAGGTGGCAGCCATTTCGGCTCACTTTGCAAGCTGGCCAGAGGCTCGTCCAATCATCACGGATGCTCACGGCAGTGACTTGGCTTCTGTGCTACTGCTCGCAAACCTTCATGGCCGAAGCGTGCACGTTACAGGAGTCATGAGGCGTGACGATATTGGTCTGATTGCGCTGAGCAAGAGCAAGGGCATGAAGGTCACTTGCGACGTTGCCGTCTACTCCCTCTTCTTCTCCACGGAGATGTACCCTCAAGCTAGCTGCCTTCCTGGCGCTGACGATCAAGCCGCGCTGTGGGACAACTTAGAGACTATCGACGTCTTCTCGGTCGGCAGCACCCCATACCGACTTGCTCTGGAGCTAGGCGAGGTCCCGTCGCCAGTGACAGGTATTCAGGAGACGTTGCGACTGCTCCTCGACGCGGTTAATGAACACCGGTTGACGCTCGACGATGTCATTGCACGTCTGAGCACCAATCCCAGAGAAATCTTCTCGTTTGCTGACCAGCCGGACACGCGCATCGAGGTGGATGTTGATAGACCTGCAGTGCTTCTCAAGCAACCACACTGGTCTCCGTTGGATGGACGCTCGACAGTCGGGTTCATTCATCGCGTCATTGTGCGCGGCAAGGACCTTGTGGTCGATGGCGAGAGCTTGTCGGATGGCGGGGTTGGCGCAAACGTCTCGGGGATCCTTGGCGTACCCTCGTCCAAAGCTGCCATAGCCGCAAAGGGTACCTCTGCCCTTCGCAGAGTCTCGTTCTCCTCGAGCACAGCTGCAGGACTGCGAAGCGGCACCTTGGGATCTGCGATCGAGCCGCCATCTTCTCCTCCCGCTCTCGCCCTCGGTGATGCCAAGTCGCCGATTGTTGGCTCTACGGATCTTGTGCCCGTTTCTCAGCGACAGAGTCTCATGTCCACGCTAGCGGCCGGCGATCTCACATCGACTCCTGCTCTCGATGCTCGACTTCCATCCATCCGATCGATGCTAGTTCACCCCACCTTTACACGTCGCCACATCCTTAGCGCAAGGCAATTTAGTCGCGATGATCTCCACGCGCTGTTCACGGTCACTGCGGAGCTGCGCTTGCAGGTCGAGCGCCATGGCGTCATCGATGTGTTGAAGGGACGCGTTCTCACCACGCTCTTCTACGAGGAGAGCACGCGCACATCGTGCTCCTTCGAAGCGGCCATGACGCGCGGCGGAGGCAACGTCGTAGCAGTCAACACGTCTAGGTCAAGCGTGCAAAAGGGAGAAAGCCTGGCGGACACGATCCGCACGGTCGGCGCGTACACAGACGCAGTGGTCTTGCGGCACCCCAACATCGGAAGCGCAGAAGAGGCGGCAAAAGCAAGCCCAGTGCCCATCCTGAATGCAGGCGATGGCGCCGGCTCGCACCCGACTCAAGCGCTCTTGGACATCTACACGATCCGCGAAGAACTGGGAACGGTATCTGGTTTGACGGTGACGTTGCTTGGCGATCTGAAAAATGGCCGCACCGTTCACGCGCTGGTCGACCTGCTGGCGCTTTACGGAGCCACACTCAATTACGTCGCTCCTCCTGGTCTTGGCATGCCAGAAGAGATCAAGCGCGCCTTGGCCAAGAAAGGTGTGCGTCAGTATGAGACACAAAATGTGGAGGACGTCATCTCTTCCACAGATGGTGAGTGCCACCTTATGATCTGCTCTTCTTGGTAAGCCTTAGCTGACCGACTTTTGCGTCAACATTGCAGTGCTATACGTTACTCGCATCCAAAAGGAACGCTTCGCGACGACCGAAGCATACGAGGCGGTCAAGGGTAGCTACATCGTCGATCAACGTCTGCTCAGCCGAGCCAAGAGGCAAATGGTGGTGCTGCACCCCTTGCCACGCAACGAGGAGCTCAGCGAAGACGTAGTGTTTGATGAACGTTGCGCTATCTGGAGACAGGTCAAGAACGGTCTCTACGTGAGACTAGCACTGCTCGCCATGGTGCTCGCGTAGCCATGCACGCTCGCGCCACTACTGCGAGAGGTATGCGGCAAAAAGCGACGGAAAAATAGCCCACCTGTTCTCCACCTCGAATTTCACCTATTTAAACATCGATGCCTTCGCTCGCGATTTTGTAAATCTCCGTGAATCGAAAAGGCACAGAGATTCGCAAAGCCGCAAACGAAAATGAGATTATTGATTTTAGCGCACCGGTGTGATTTGTTGATGGCGCTCGTAACTATGCTGACGTTGCTTCTTGAGTGCTTTGACTGATTCACATTCTTCTGTGCCGTATTGCTCGCGCTTTATCTACACTTTGACCTGCGAGGAGACCCGATCGGCAGAGGAAAGGCTTGGGGACGTGCAGAGCTGAGCTTGCCAGCGAATTGCAAACGTAGTTGTACGAAGGAGCGAACGACAAAGCTTGATTCATGTGCATACATGCTATTCGCAAGCCTCTGCGCTGCTACATCCTACTCTCGCGTCCATACATTCCCTACGCTTTTGTTTTCTTTGCCGATGTGGCCGCTGGTGTACCTGTTGCCGCCGCTGCAGAGCTCTGGACGTTGACATTGACATTCTGAGTCGGACCTTTTGCGGCTTCGGAAGCTAGACTCCTGGCCCTTTCCGCCCTTTGCCTCTTTGCCTTTTCGGATGCTCTTTGACGCGCCCTGTGGCCTGCACCTCGCTCTGTGACGTGACACGACGGCGGTACAGACGACACGCACGGCGAATCGGAAGAAAGTAGACGGACAGAATAGTGGATCAGTCCATGCTGTTTTTGCACTCTGCACAAAACATTCGACATTCCCAGAGCAGGCTAGCTTGATACAAGCTCGCGCGTTCTTCGACCACTCACTCTTGCCAATCTTGCTCAAGGTCAGCTTCCCACCATCCTTGCTACTGGATGCGGTCGCTTGCTGCTCCTTGCGTATCTTTTCTGCCCGCCGTTCCTTGGCTTTGTCCCTCTTTTTCAAAGACGCCGAGAGATGTGTGCGTAGAAGAGCATCGATAGAGGTTTGGAAGGTGGGCAAGGCCGAGGGAGTGACCTGAGAAGAGATTCGAATGGAAAACGTCTTGAGCAGGTGCAGACTTCTCGCATACGCTTGATCATCGGGCTATCTAAGCGAGATGTCTCTGCCCCCTGGCCGATCACCCTTTGCCATGTGCATCCTTCCAGGCTCAAACGGCACTTGCCCGCAACTGTGATCGCTTCCGACGCCCGGCGCCAAAACACTCACAATGGTCGAGAATTTTTCCTTCTTTTGCTTATCGTCGTTGCCATTCGTTGCTCTGAAAAGCACACCATGCGTCGCGCCTCCCTGCACAGGCTCAACACCCATCGCTTCCTCGCCAGAGGATAATCTCTTTGTGGTGATGTAGACTGAGTGGGCAGAGGTGCTGGACGTGAAGAGATTGCCTAGACGGTTGAGAAACTGTGCGGATGGAGCGAGAGCGCAAGTTGTAAGCTTGAACAGTCTCAAGGTTTGGTGAGAGATGAACACGCAAGATTTGGAAGGAGCAATCAACGCACCTCTTCATTGCTGGAGTGCGGCATCTTGCCAAGGTAGCTACTGCTTAATCCGAGCTTCTGCCTGCCTTCCTTGCCTTTGTGGGTCACGAAGAAGACCAACCGGCAAATGTAGCCTGGTGTTGCAAGATGCTCGACGTTTCCGACGTTTCAGAGAGTGGCGCGATGCTGAACGAGAGATCGAGAGAGATTGGATGATGGTGTGATTGAGATTGGTGATTGATGGCCCGTGGTCGTTAGACGCGAAGGTACTCACAACTACTCAAACTGTAGGTATAAGGTACTACTGGTACGGTACATACGTACTTTGAACGGTCTCGTGACTTTGGCAGCTTCTTCGCGCCAAGCTTTCGGCACCTGCCCACCGTACGCGTCCCGCTCATGCGCTTAGCAGCGATCACGCGAGAGGTGACTTCCTGCGTGTGGCATCCACCAGCTATAGCAGTCACAGCAGGCTGTACCGGTACGCGGTTTACCATCTGCGTGAGTTTTGAGTATTATGCCGAGGTGCATGGAAGCGCAGGAACCTTTTCCCTTCCTCAATACCGTACCTACTCGACTCGGACAATCAAGACTAGCAAAACATCGGACCGCAAGGATCAGCCACAGACCTCAATCACAACCAAGATTGACCAGGCTTGCCGCCAATTCGAGCTTGTCTCGTCCTTACATTCAAGGTTGAGGTGACGTTGAGCTCTGCCTGAGGCAATGACCTAAAGCACTCGAGGCAGAGATGGTCTGATGCAGCGACGGCTCCACCTTCCTGCACATGCGCTGCGAGAGTCAGATCGACCACAGTGGACAAGAATCTGAATCACCTTGCAGCGTCTGATTCTGGAGGCTAGTCGCACAGTCAATGAGATGGCTCTCTTGACGCTCAGCTCCAGTGCGGAGGGACCTACTCCAAGCAAGGTACAGCAGACGCTCGAGGAGCTACGCAACAGTAATTTTGGCAGTTGGGATGAAGTCTTGAAGGTTCTGCGTCAGCCTTTGGCCCTGTTTGGCCTAGGAGTCGGTCCTAGGCGCGTCAAGAGGCATAGCGTTGGAGGTGATGAGCCAGATCCCACATTTGGTCGGAGTCTGGGCCCACAGCTGACTGACGAGCAGAAGGCTTGTTTGCGCCCTACCTTTCTGGGCGACGTTCAGAGAGTAATCTTGGAGCGCATCGGTGTCGACTGGGCCTTCATGATCGAGGAGGAGAGATGGTCCGAACTTCTTCATGCCTGGTTTGTCGCTCCGACACGGCAGAGCGAGACGGCCTCCCCCTTCGAACCCATCCTTGTCACTACCATCCAGCTAGCTACACTGAGCACGCTCTCTGCATTCTTGTCCAATCCGCGAGCGACACAGCATGAGAGCACAATTCACGCCTTGACGCGCATCGTTCAGATGCTCTTCAGTCGCCACGCACAACCATACGAGCCAGCCTCTCAAGTCGGGCTCAGCAATCCGCACGCCGAGTCGACGGCACCTCACACAGATATGCCCTACCCGCTGGACCTCTGCTACATCCACGAGACGCTGCGAATACAGCCCGTCGATGGACGCTCGTTCTCAAGCAGCATGTCCCCTCAAGCTACACTCCAATGGGCTCAGTGCGTCCGACTTCTGTTTGCGCTTCCTGCAAAGATCTCAAATTGGAGTGAGGGCCAAGAAGACTGGTCTAGCATGCTTGCTCGGCCAGATGAGGCGCGAAGTCTGCAGCAGCACGATGAGTTTGGGGCTTATCTTGCTGAACAATTGGAGCAGCTGATTGGAACTAGGACTCAAGCGGAGAGTCTGCGCGTGTTTGTGAGCAGAGTACTCAGGAGCGGCACAGCTGCTCCAATCCCCTTTTCGAACGCTTCAAGTGGCCGTGCAAGACGAGACTTCTGGTCAGCTCTTTTGCGCTGCGTTCTTAGGCGGTGCGAGATCCTTGCTGGTCCACATCGCTCTGACACGTACCTTCGCCCAATCTCTGAGGAGTTTGACATGGCGGGCTTGAAAGGTGGCGTCGGGGACCAAGTCGCGCTTTATTCCGCCAGGTGGCAAATCCTGCTTTTGCGCACCTTGCAGCGGACCGAAAGCGAGACGTTCTTTCTTTCGCTCTTGGCATGGTTCGACGTGGTATCGTGCGGCCTGGGCTTGAAACGAGCTGCCCCGATCGTCCAAGACGTTCCTTCGAGAGGGCCTGTCCTGCATGAAGAGGACCGCGACTTCTGCTCGACAGGCAAGGACAATCTGAGAAACGCTATTGCGCTAGTCATTAAGATTTTTCTCGGGCTGTCGGGGACCGATAAGCCGCTGCAGCACATATCAGATCCGGCTAGGCGCGCTAGCTTGACGTCAGATTTGGCTTCGGACTCGAGCTCAAGCGAGGAAAGCTCCGCAAGCTCGGACGAGCGCCAGGGGCCTGCCTTGCCGTGCAAGAGAACCAGCAGAGGTCCAGCTAGCCTTGCGCCTCTGCTTATTGAGGTTGTTCGAGGTACGCGATCAGCTCGTCATTGGTCGCCGTCGCTCGCAACGGCGCTGGCTTCCGTCATCCAAAGTGCGGGAAGCAAGGTTATGCAGCGTATTGCCAAAGACGTGCTAGAGACGTGGTCGGATGCGAAACGCTGCGAAATCGACTTGCGTGAACGCGAGCTGTGTGAGTGTTTTGCTTTGGAAATGGCGGTGAGATGTCGAAAGCTGCGCTGCACGGAGCTGACCATTAAGCGGGAACGCGCTATTTGAATGCGGATTCTCGCAGACTTGACTACGCTACTAATTGCTCTGCCTCTGCCCTCGCCTTACGACCCTACATTCATCGAGGGAGTAGGAGCGCACCTGTCCCACTTGGATCCGTACATTCGCAGATTGGGAATGTTATGTGCAGAGCTGTCGAGCCATCACGCCGCCCATCAGCAGACGTCCGACTCAGGCGATCAAGAAGCGCCAAAGACCTTGTCATTCAGCAAGTCCATCTGGGAGGGGCATGGCGAGGGGCGAGAAGAAGCCAGAGTCCTCAGGAAATTGAGTGCAAAACTAAGGGAGGGGATCGAAAGCGGCGGCCCCGAGCTGCATTTGCGAGCCCCTCACGTCAGTGCACCTGAGGCTGGTCGGCTGTTGGGAATCGTGTTCGAGATGCGACGCGGTTGCGATCCATTGCCTGAGCCGATACCGGATGCAGGACAGCCACACATGGCACACAGCCCAGCACAGATAGTAAGCCGTCCAAAGCCCATCTCTAGAAGTCTTCCTCAACGTGTTGCACCTGCAAGCAGGCTACAGAGATACGATCAGAACTCGCCGTTGGGGTCCCTACTCGCCCTTGATAGCTCTGGGACCAACGTCCGCAAAGACAGCCTGCGTCGACCACTCATCGTCGACTTGTCGCAGACGGACGAGCGCGATGAAACGGTATCTGGCTCGCCTGCTCGACAAGATGGACTACGGCCCGCTCCCGCGCACGAGTTCGAAGAGGCCGAGTCGTCCGCATCTTCCTCTGGAGAGGACTCGTCTGCTTCTGAGGCGGGCGACGAAGAGCGCGCCCACTTGCAGTCCACTTTGAAGGGCCTCAATCTGGCCAATGATGCGGATGACTCGACCATCAAGGCGGCTTTGGAAGCGCATCGCAGTGCGCAAAAAGCCAAGGAGACCAAGACTTCGGGGCGGACGGAGGATGAAGAGTTCGGCATGTCCGTGCCCAAGAAGAAGAGGCGAAGAGTGCCGGTGTATGTGAATGAGCTCCCACCTCTGTTGAGAGACCAGGATAGATCGGCCAACAGATTGGCGCTGAGACATGCCGAAGCGCTCGTTCGTCGCAAAAGAGGTTGGGGCGGTGAAGTGGGTGAGTCATGCGCGTGCGGCTGTCAGGTGTGGTAAAGTGTAGGGCGCTTACGTAGGCAGACTGCATACTCTGTTTTTTGCGTCTAGAGGAGAACAGCGCGGAGCTGCTCTATGCGTTGGTAGCACTGCAGAACAATTTTGGCATCAAGCACTTCGAAGAGATGCGGACGAACGCAGTCGTTGCGCTCGTCGTAGCAGCGCCTCGTATTACTGCTCCGTGAGTGGATGCAGTCGCCAACACCGGAGGGCCTCTCGCTCATGCTACTCGGCCCCGGCCCCTCTCTTTCAGCCTGCTTGCCGAGCAGTACTTCAACCATCAATATTCGTTGGCGCAAAGGAGCTGCATGCTGATTGCCTTGGCTACGGCCGCTCGGGACCTCGCAGGCTTGCCAGCGCTGCACAGCCTTGAAGCGGCCAACGAGAGCCTGATCGGCACGGCCATAGATCGCGCAAAGACAGAAGGAGAAGCTCGAGTGCCGGAAATCCAGCGCGACAAGGCCCTGCAGGTCAATCCTACTTCGAGGGGCTCGCGCTCTGAATTGTCCGTGTCGCGCGAGGAAAGGAGCTCGCAACACGCAAGCTCAGTGGATAATTTGGCGAAGAGGTATCCTTCCACCTTGCCAGGTGCGATGCTTGCTCCTCTTACTCGATACTTGGACGTAGCAGTAGTGTATTTTCTGCGGCCTCTCATTCAGCGACACTGGATCGCCTTGGACGAGCTCTTGCGCTCAGCAAGCTCCAATTCTCGCCAGAGCACTGCAAACTCCATCTTACGCTCCCGCATGAGTACGCACGGAGGTGGCTCGACTATCGCAAGAAGAAGGGCAGGGACGGGTCAAGTGCTGAGCCCGAGCATGGTGTCGCGTTACTTGGACTGCCTTGCCATTCTAGCGCACGCCGCTCGACATGCCGTTGGTTTTGCTCGTACCCTAGTCCCCCAGCTTTTTGAACTCGCCCTCGCTACCAATACGCGCATGCTGTGCTTCTCGGACTTGGAGCTGAACGACAAGGACGAAGTCAATGAGCAGCATGAAGCTGGAGCGCCGGACACGAGAAAGTTACATGCTTCTCGTCGAAATCTTACGGATGCTCGAGAGGCTATCAGCGCTTCTTCCGCCAGCTTGATTCTAGTGCTACTGGATGCGTGCTGGGAGATGGACGGGGGAGTGGCGCTGATGGATGAGCTTTCAAGAAGCACCACCTCTTCTCAAGCTGGCATTTCTTCCGCCATCTTTGCGGACATCATCACTTGGACCGAGGCCTTGTTTGAGACAGAGGATGCTAAAGGGAGACGCGCGGCGTCGTTTGGAAGGAGCGGACGATGCGCTGCTGCGATACTTGTGCGAGTGCACGAGATCAGGTCTCACCTCGGTCAGAGAATGTAGTCCACTTCATCCTTCTCATCCTGCGTGCGGCCGCTGTCGGCTCAAGCACCTGCAACGCGATACGCGTTCAGACTAACAGACACATTCGTCTCACGTACTGCCCGTCACGTTATCGATCGCTCTTCAAACCTGAAGGAGGCTCGAGCTTTGCAATTTTCGGTGTGTGTAGCGCACGCACTGAACCTTTCGAGCGCTAAGCCTCGTATAAACGCAGGCGCGAATGCACCATGGAAGCCGCTCAGAGCAAAAGGAGGGGCTGTGAAATGTATCGATATTGACATGCTTCAAGGAGAGAATGCGGCAGATAAACGACTGTTGCGAATGTTGCTATGGAGTCAAGGTCACTCGTCGCTGGATCCCCCGTCGAACGGCTTGCTGATGAAGATGATAGGCCTACCCGAGAGTGATTTTCGCGAGCGAGCAGTGAACAAAAGAAGAAAGGATGGGGTAGGATGGGGGGGTATTCTGATAATCACCAAAATGGTTGTTGCATATGCACAAGTCGCAAGCTGCCAGCACGTTCGAGCCTTGATGTGTGCTGCTCGCAGATTTCTTTCTGATCGAGGTGGGGAGCCGGTCTGCTGCCAGAGTCTGATGCCAAGGTAAGAGTGGCTAGGAGGAAGCAGAACAAACAGCTTTGGGTCAGACGGGGACCGCTGCAGATCTAGGCGGCAAGAATTTCGGTGGATGGAGGACCAGCAGCAGGAGGTTTTGGATTTGCAGATTCGTCGACGCTCTTCTTGGAAAGATGAGGCGATGCTTTGGTAGCGCTCACTCCGGCGGTGCTCGGACTAGCAGGGGCTGCTGCTACTTGCGTGAGAGCAGGAGCAGGAGCGCTCGCAGGCGCTCTTTCGGGCTCAGGAGCAGATGCGGGCCCAGCTTGAGTCACCTCGCTCACTGGTCCGTTCCTCGAAGCGGCATTGGCTGGAGAATTGGACTTGCTGGCATTTGCGCTGAGTTTTGCTTTTGAACGAGCTTCGGCCCTAGCGCTGAGGTGGGTGAACCCTGTGCCATTGGCAGAACTTCCACCTCCAGCCCTATTGTTCCCCTCGTTATTCCTCAAACCGATCATTTCCCTTCTGAACAAGCCCAAAGCTACGCTCTCTGGCAACCATTTGCAAAATTGAGCTGCCATATTGTGTGGGGTATGAGGCAGAGACCAAGCGGGTGGCCTGCTCCTCCAAAACTTGGGCGCAATTGTCTTGATGGCATTGTCCACCCAAGTGGAAGCGAGCGGAGCCATGGATGTTCCACCTCCCTGAACACCTCGATTGTTCACCACTACGCCTGGACCCAGACAAACGACATCCACTTGTGTGCCAAGAGCCTTCTCTTCGTGGTAGATGCCCATTGAAAAGTGTCGGTTGAAAGCTTTGGAAGCGCTGTATCCCGTGACGCTGTGGAGATGGACGCGCGTGCCAAAACGGGGAGGAGCAGGTCTCAGCTATAGACTACGTTGCCGCCGCGCGCAACAAATCGACGTGGACTAGCTTGGGAAATGCAAGACAAGTGGCGCGAAAAGGCAGCATGACTCACAATGGTGTGGGGAACAGCCCGCTGATGCTCGAGACATTGACCATCAAGCTTGGCTGTTGCTGTCTCAGTTTGGGCAGAGTGGCGTTGGCTACGAGCGAGGGAAACGTGACATTCGTCGCGATTTCATCCTCCAGCTTTTCAGGATCCGCCTCTTCGATCGAGTCGTATCCACCTCCGCTACCTCCCACATTGTTGACCACGATTGCCAAATTTGCAATCTTTCCAATCGCCTCTCGAATGGGCTTGATGTCGGTGGGAACGAGGGAAGCGTCACAGATGACGTAGCGAATGTCGAGATTGGGAGTGATTTGAACGTTTTGCGACAGGATGGAATGGCGTAGGGCTGAGAGCTTCTCTTCCGAACGACCGTGCAGAAGCAGGTTGAAGCCGTGAGATGCTAGAGCGTACGCCCACGCCTCTCCCATGCCGGCTGTGGATCCGGTGATCAGAGCGTAGGGCGCCGCTGTGTGTCTGTACCTCGCCAATGCTGGCGGATAGGTCGTCGATGCCGTCATGTTGGAGGTTC